AGCAACTGGACAAAAATAACATTTTGCAAGTTTTTTAAAAAGTACTTTACATGCATATATCTACTATGATCCACCATACCTCTAGGCCACGTAGTGCACCATATACAAAATTTGCCTGCAAAGTACAACAAACTAACAACGCTCAGAAAAATCATCCCGGAAAAATGATTTACCTAGTTATGTGTGCATTATTGAAGAGAAATTGTAATAGTTAAAAAACGGAGACAGTTAAAAAAAATTAAGTAAAATTCAAGCTTTAGCCTGGTTGGACACGTAATAGTTAAAGTTCAAGGACAAGACTGCATTTGTAATCAACAGATAGAGAGAAAAGAAAGGGATAGCCTTATGGAAAGAAATTTTATAGACCCAAAATAAAGATTATATTATTCCACTTTCTGGAGAAACAACAATAACCTTGCTTGTNAATAACCTTGCTTGTATCTATGCCCATGCCCCATGTACATTTTTTCTAGTCCCTTAACATTCTATCTATTTTTTCTTCTTCCCTACTGTATTTTAGCATAGTGTTTATCAAAATGTGAGAGCTTCCAATCAAATCATAAACGATCAAAGTTACTTGAGCTATGCAAAATACAAAAAAAAAAAAAAATTGCTAGAAAATGAAAAGACTAGACAACGCGAAGAAAGTAAAAATTATTTAAAGATTCTCTGCACAAAATAATAAGTAATGCCTATTACCAGAGTCTATCCATTACTCCGATCAAATTTTTTATTTTTTTATTTAATCAAAACTATAAATTTGATTTTCGATTGTACCTCAATTGTGATCTCCCCAATAATTGAATGCTCGTCTCTTTTCGCCACCGACAATGAATAGCTCTCATCCACTCCAAGTTGAAGCTACAACAAACAAAATTTCAAGTAAAAACAAAAATACAAAAATCCCTACTTTTATAACCAAATTACCTCTTCATTAGCGGAATAAACAATAACATTAAGCTTTTCAATATCATAGCTCCCTTCAGACTTCGGTAACTTAGAATGATGCTTAAATATAATCGATTTATATCTCTCAAAAGCCTCCTTAACAATAGCAGAACCCCCGCCATTGCCACTAACAGCAAGCGACAAATTAGGGTCAACGGCCAGCGTTTGATTTCCGAAACTGAATTCAGAAGGCAATGGCCATATATATGTGATGGAGTCATCATCATACAGTTGGGTATTTGAACTGTACTTTAGATTACGGGAAGCGATTATTACTGGGAAGAGTGATACGTAGATGAAAAAGATGATTGTGGGGATTGGATTTGATGCATCGGCATTCATTTTGTGGATCGTAGTGCGGGATTTGATTCAGAGTTGACTAAAAGTATAAGGTGGTTGATGGAGTGAAAGAAGATAGAACGAAGAACGGGACGAATGATTTTTCCAACTTTGCTTATATATTCATATTTTATTTTATTTTTATCGTAACCTTTCATTTCTATATGGAACAAAATAAAAATTGACATATATTAAGCCTATGTTTGAATATCATTATTTGGTGAATAAAGAGTTTTGAATAATGATTTTTAGGAGAAGATGTAATTAAAAGGAACGAAAAGTTTTTGGGTTCACGTGTAAAATATTTTATTGTCAAACAGGTGCTAAGTATGATGCAGAGCGAAGATTAAAGTCCTTCAAATTTAAAAAATATGACCTCAATCGTCGATGCTTACATAAACAAAGGATGCCTCGATTGCCTAGCTTACCCCGAACAAAGAAGTTAATGACTAACACTTGACCAAAAATCCAACTAAAGAACTCAGTTCAAAACTTGACTAAAATTTGTGACTCACTATTGGTTGGCGGTGACGACAGTGTAACAAGTATGTTACAAGTAGCGGAGTTGGTTACGGCGATGGGTGTAGAATATACATAACAAAATTTCATTTTGAACTAAAAGTAGTTTCATTTTGATGAGCTGAATCATTTAATAGTTAGTTAAGTATCTTTTAAATTTAGCCAAACGATAATCAAGTATCAAATCGAACATAGAATCAAACTTATTGTGTTCTGTCGAGTTATTTTAATTTCGTCGTGATAAGATTCATTCATAGTTATTGTCTTATTTTCATGTCAAACAAAATATGCTATTTGTTTGTTTGTGCGTGTATTTAATCCTTCTACTGGACCAAGGAGAAAGTATAGAATGGGCACAAGTTTTTCATTGGACTTAACGATTATCTCACTAATCACTCCATCTACTTCTGTGTGAAACCATGATATTTTTAAACGGAATGCGAGTTATAGCAAACATATAAATAATATTCACAATTATGTGACAAAGTGACGAATTAAATAACAACTTGTTAAGTCCGAACAATGTCCGCATATATATATATATATATTAACCATGCATCAATTTTTCATTATGTCGGGGCCATATGCGTCTACTTTAAGAATTTATCATGATTTCAGCATATTTTGTTAAGTATATCCTCATTTTAAAGTTTTTATTATATAATTTACTCTACGAAACAATCCGCATGTAACCCAATGATATGATTAGGTTGATAAAAACAAAGATGCAAGGACACTCCTTTACAAAAGAAATATTTCATAATAAATGTGAAATCCATGATAGTTTTATTTTTCTCTAATCGATAATCTAATCCGGTTTTCTCAAACGGAAAGCGACACATTTTCCACCAAAAAAAGATATAAAAAAGAGAGAAACATCTGATGTTTTTGTTTGGCTGTCCTATACTAAATTTTTTATGACTCGACACATCAACTCTTATTAGCAAGTAAAAAATGCCAATACTTCCAAGTAATATCACCATGATATCTAACAAGAATTGATGTGTAAAAATATGAAATTTACTGATGAACAATTAAAAAGAAGGCCAAACAAAAACAACACATCTCAACACGTCTATCTAGCTAGTAGTCCGTAACTGGAAGTTGCTCATGTGTGATCTCACAATATATATATATATATTAACCATGCATCAATTTTTCATTATGTCGGGGCCATATGCGTCTACTTTAAGAATTTATCATGATTTCAGCATATTTTGTTAAGTATACCCTCATTTTAAAGTTTTTATTATATAATTTACTCTACGAAACAATCCGCATGTAACCCAATGATATGATTAGGTTGATAAAAACAGAGATGCAAGGACACTCCTTTACAAAAGAAATATTTCATGACAAATGTGAAATCCATGATAGTTTTATTTTTCTCTAATCGATAATCTAATCCGGTTTTCTCAAACGGAAAGCGACACATTTTCCACCAAAAAAAGAGAGAAACATCTGATGTTTCTGTTTGGCTGTCCTATACTAAATTTTTTATGACTCGACACATCAACTCTTATTAGCAAGTAAAAAATGCCAATACTTCCAAGTAATATCACCACGATATCTAACAAGAATTGATGTGTAAAAATATGAAATTTACTGATGAACAATTAAAAAGACGGCCAAACAAAAACAACAGATCTCAACACGTCTATCTAGCTAGTAGTCCGTAACTGGAAGTTGCTCATGTGTGATCTCACCATTGATGTAGATGTTATCATAGACAAGTGCTGCAATAGTGGCACCAATCAAGGGGCCAAACCAATATATCCAGTGGTGTGTAAAATTCCAACTGACCAGAGCTGGTCCAAAGGAGACTGCTGGGTTCATTGATGCACCATCAAAAGCACCACCTGCTAAGATATTAGCACCCACAATGAACCCAATTGCAATGGGTGCAATGCTTCCCAAATCACCCTTTTTTGGATCCACTGCAGTAGCATACACTGTATACACCAGCCCAAAGGTCATCACAATCTCGAACACTAAGGCGTTCCACACAGAAATATCGGACGACAAGGCAAATGCTGATATTTCCTGCAAAATATAAGTTGGCTCATATGTCGATGTCATCCCACTTATAAAAATCGTGAATGTGTATGTTGAAGTAGATAGTCATAAAAGTGAAATAAACGAAGTCCCACGTCAAAAGAAAGCAAGGGAAGATTGACATGTACAACCACTTACTTGGTACTTCAATACTTATTTTGCCACATTTATTTTCACTTGCATAAATAATTACAATAAATACATATTTAATTATCTTTTACAACTTGTCTCTTGGATGGTGAGGCAATATTATGTTCAAGAAAGTGCATAAATGCCTTGAAGCCTTATTATTTCCTTAAACGTGTAGAAGACGAGAAAATGGGATGGGGAAATAACACTTCCAACATTTATACCCTTCTCTCTTCAAAATTTTTACCAAATTCTTCATTTTCATTTTTGTATTAATTTCGAACCATCTAGGCATTCTTGTCAAATTATGCAAAATTGACAAAAAATTCATCCAACTAAAGGACACTATGGCCATTTTGCATGACTGAATGACCATATTTTGTAAAAACTCATGCTACATGTACATTACATTTGACATCATTATTTACATTGTATCACTAGACAACACACTATTCGTAAGTTAAAAAAAACTGCTTTTTCGTCCTTTTCTTTTTGAAAACACTAAGAATTTCAAACAATATGTAATTCATGGAATGTACACTTAGCATTTTCCTTTAATAAAACCTTCATCAGGACAAATTTCATTGTGGCACAAAAAAGAAGTAGATGGCTCAGAAAGAAAATTCATGAATAAGTGAATCGTCCATTCTCTAATACTCGGTATGTCTAGATTTACTTGGTAGGACATCGTTCTTGTTCTCCTTTTTATCCAAACATGTTAAATTCCTACATACATTCTAAGTTCGGACAATGAAAATACTAGAATATGCAAAACTCTAGTAACGGAAGCAAATCATTGTTAACTAATGCACAGAATTAAGCTACTACAAGAAATTTCACTTTTAACAACAAAAAGAATCTCTCAACGACCATTTTTTCTTTTTTTTTTCCTAGGACGAACCAATCAATGATTTCTTGCACCAAAAAATTTCGTAGTCAGAAGTGAAATCGTAAAAATGATCATGTTTCTTACCAATCCTCCTGTAGCAAACTTAAGAAGCATGCAGGCAACAACAGAGCCAAGTAATTGAGCAAACCAATACAAAATGCCCCTCAAAAGTGTGATGTTCCCACCAATGAAAGCACCAAATGTGACAGCAGGATTCACATGACCCCCTGATATGTTTGCACCAACTGATACTGCCACAAAAAGTGCAAATGCATGGGCTAATGCTGCAGCTAGTAGTCCTGATGGAGTTGACGACCCATCATTGCTCAACTTATCTGCCATAATATGATACAATCATCAAACATTTTACGTTAGAAGATCAAAAAATAAAGAGAAGATGCACACGAACGAGATACCAGCAACAAGAAGATCAAAAAATGGTTGAATGAAAAATCGATCTCATATGTGTCTTTCTACAGAAGATCAAGCCAGGATCTTCAAGAAAAAATAGATTTTTCGATAAACTCACACTAACCCATCAAAATTCAAATGAAATAAGAGAGATTCCTAGAGTTTCCATTGATTAACATTGTTTTGTATCAACGGGATATGAATAGATGAAGATGAGAAAGAGAGAACTTACTAAAAGCCATCCCGGAGCCTTGACCAGCAAAAACAAAAATAAGCATAGAGAAGAACTCAGCAAGCGCGGCCTTGAGTGCATCGGGGTGGCTTGCTTCTCCAGGCGTCCCAATCGCAATCTGATAAATCGGCATCTTCAATTTCCCACGAGCTTGAAAATTAAAGGTTTTTTTTGGCTTCTCTTTTGTTCACTCTCCCTTCCCTTTAGTAGTAGAGTGCATACGTCAGAGAAAAAGGCTCAAACAAACAACTAACATATACTGAAATAACGGCTAAGGAACAGGTTAAAAGCAAGCTAATAATGTCCTATAATTGGTGATGTTTTGCCACTTGTTAGGCTCTCAAGCTTCCTAGTTTCTATTTTTCTTTTTCTTTTTTGGCTCTGGTTTGGTGTGCCTATAAATCAGATATTTAGCAGATTTTGATAAAAATTGATAAAATGTATTGTTGAAAATTCGATAAAAATTGTAAATCTCATTAAACGTGGAGTTAAAATCAAATATTGACTTTATCTTATATTTTTATCAATTTTTTAAGTTACACAAACAGGGACTTCCTAAGGATGATGTAATTCATCCAAACCCATTAGAAATATCTTAGAGGACATCTTTACATAGTCTCGAGACAATGAACTATAATGCACGAAACATAGCTTCTCTTTCCTGTCATACTGAAGATTTGCTTGATGCACGAAATCAATATTCATATGCAACTCAAGGGGTGGTGGAGGATAAGAAAGCTGCTGCATGTACATAATTTTTTTTACAGTTTTGTTGACAGAAATGAGATAGCAATTTTTGGTCCTTGATTTGAATTTCGACAGTTTTTGGCCATTGATTTCATTCAAATTAAAGGCCAAATCACTACCATCTCATATTCTATCAGCACATTTGTAACCCGAACTCAATTTTGAATTTTCCATCTCTTCATTGTCCTCCTAATACATTTTTTTACGCATCAATTCTTTACACCTGCGTGTCTTTCCATTTGCTAATAACAAATAAGATGCTGAAGTGTTAAAAATATATTAAGAGGATAGCCATTGAGGTAGCAAACCTATTTGCAGCATGATTAGGACTCTCATCTGGTTATGAAGTATCGTGTCCTCCATATCGTGACAATCATCGCAAAAACTCTCATTACAATCACCGTTTCAAATGAAGCTTCAAATTAACAAATAATTAAATTAAGATCATCTTGAATAATAAGTTTTTCTTGCATTCCACCAAGTTCGCAAGTAAATAAAATTCTTCTCCAAATCTTCCTTACAATACGATTTCCCACGGCAAAAATGAATGCCCAATTGATTAATAGTATCTAAAAACACAGCTGACAAACATTTGAATGAAACAAAACAAAATATCATATTTGGTACCTTAAATGTGTTGAATGGTATTGAGGAAAAAAAATAAAGAAATTTTATTTGTGGGTCAACATTATTATAATATCGTTTGGACTCCATTTTAACGAACATTGGATGTTGTGGAGAGGGTCGAATTTTGGAATAGTAATTTTATTTTTATTTTTGAAAAATGTGTACTTAAAAAATAAGAAAAAAAATTCGATACACATTGCTATTTTATGGGAAAATATGCAGTTGAAAATGAGTAGAAAAAATTGAAGGCCAAACATAAGCAATGTTTCATCTCAGCAACGTACAGAATCAAGAATAATTATAACTTGTTTGAGCAGTGTTTATAAACAATTTAAAAAATAAACAAATATAAACGAGTGGTGGACAATACTAGTTAATCCCTCAAAATATATGAATAAAAAGCGATTTAAATGTTTATAAACATGAGCCAAACACAGGCTTAGACAACATTTGCATTCCGGCAAAATGATGGTGCGTTTTTTACTATTTGTTGACCAAACGCGATGCAGTGAACAAAATAAACTCGAGTTTTTTTCGACCAGGAAGGTACGAATTGTCTGTATTATGAATCATCATCCTGGTGATAATTGAGATGAAAAGAAAGTACAAATAAAAATGTCTCTCGGCCACATGAAGTCTTCGTTCCCCAGTATCAGAAATCAAGTACTTCATCTGCGAAAGAGAAATGAGAATTAAAAGAGTCACGTTCACAACTAAAAACAAATATCAATTATCCATAAGTTGTTATCAGTAAGAAGAACTTCGTGATATATTTCCATGAATGAAAACAGAGAAGGATGATTTAACCACAGGGTCAGAACAAATGTGCATGATTTGAATCCAATCTTATAGAACCACACATCCATCATAACATCTTTCTACTTCTTCGTCTTCGGGTTATTTTGTCTTTTAATCACCCAACGTAGTTACTGGAATCATAGTTAGTCCAGTTAACATTCAATAGAACTTGACTTTTTACATAATATCTTCCAAAAAGTAGAATGCCCCTACAATTTGTCCAACTCACTCTAAGCCTATGAATCGTATCCTGTCCAATTCTTCATTTCTTATCAGTAATGGAACCTAAAAACTAAGGTCAGCCACTCTTTATAACATGGTTCTATATCGTAATTCAACAATTGTCCTTGTCCATATTTCAAACTACAATTAAAAAGGACCTTCCATTCATTTTGTCCTAATGCATGGTCTACTTGTCAGCAAAAGTAATCATTTAAAACTAACCAGTGAGTAACATTCACCAAAAGGCCTATCATAATTGTATTGTAAGCTCGTCCATGGTTAAAACATAAATATAGATCACAGTAAAGTTTTGATGCAGGAATATAGTAATAGAAATTTTCGTTACCCCCAGTAAACTTCACTTGTTTATGCTTCATTATATATACCCTTGATAGTACAATATATTTAAGGTCTGTTTGACGTAGACTTTGTGAAAAGTGATATTTTGGAGAATGTATGAACAGAAAGTAGGGAAAAATTATGCCCACGTGCAAAAAATATTTTAGGACAATGAGCGGTTGAAATGAGTTTGAATAAAAAAAAGTTTTAAAGAATCAAATTGGGACTTATTATTAACTTCCTTTTTCTCCCACGCCCACCCTACCGTATGTGCTTTCTAAATCAATAAAGATCGTGTGAAAATTATTCTCAGGTTCTCTATACTTTTCCATCTTCATTCTACAAAGTAGGTAATAGCTTCATCAATATATCTCCCTATGACAAAACCAAGTTTATTCTCCATCACATGTAAGTAGTAAGTTGATTTGTACTCGATTAACCTCTCTCAAAGTTTCAAAGTAGCTTACTGCCTCTAAAGTTTAATATCATTTAGAACATCTCAACTATTCCTATAACAAAGTACTAAAACACTTTTCCTCCATTTATCACACATATTTTTACCCCTTAAATCTCATTGAATAATTTCATCAACCACGAAATATCCACATAGCATATGCACTTTATACTTCAACATTGTATTTGCCTATTTGGTACATTTTCTCAGATTATATTTAAATTTGATAACAGGTTTCAATATTTTGTTATAAGAATCATCGCGAGCGTAAAATAATATTTAATGAATACCAAATTCATAAAAAAAAAATCATTTAATCAGATTAAAAAGCCACCATCAACTGTCCCTCTCGATCTACCGAGAATAATATTGCACAGTATCACAATGAAAGAGCTAGATCTACAATTTATTAATTTGCGGCTAGGGTTTGTAAATCGAGTAGGACTTACTTCCCGTGCCTTTGCACAAAGGGCGAGTTCTTCGCATCCTCCTCTGGGAACATTCATTGAAAAATCAAAAAATCAAAAATCAAAATAGAAATCATAAGAAATTACATTACAAAATATATTCTAGAAATAAGAAAAATGAGGGTGCGAACCAGTGAGGCTGAGGGAGAACTTGGTTATGATGGTGCCCGTAATAGCGAAGCCAACAAGGAAAGGCCAGTTGCGATTGAATTCTCTCCTGAAGAACACTGGCCATGGATCGAATTTTCTCATTTTTGGCGTTTGTTTTCTTGTCTGATATCTACTCCAGTGAATATATGAATGAAATGATGATGAAATGTGCAAGTGTGAATTGCCGTTTTATCATCAATATGTCTCAGCCAATTCAAATGGGCTCAAGGCCCAAACCAAGAGGGCCCAAAGGTCCTACTTCTTGCCGAAATCACAACTGCAAATTACATAGACCCCCTTGAAATTTATAACAATTTCATAGACGTCTTTCACTTTTCAAAATTTACACAAACATCCAATAATTCAAGTTTTGAATAACACATACATTTCTTGAAATTCATGGCAAGACATCCCTCTATTTTTTAAATATTACACAAACCTTCCATATTTCAAATTTTAAATAATACATACCACCCTTGAGATTTAAGAAAATTTCGAAAATACCGCTCTATTTTTCAAAATTACACAAACCTCCCAATTTTAACTTTTGAATAAGCATACCTCCATTGACCACTTTTATCTCACATTTGAGCTCAAATAATTGTGGTAGCGCTTAAAATACTCTTATGATCTTTGTTTCATCTTGTAACTCATTTAACAATAATTTAATTACTTAAAATTATTTTATTTTTAACACTTAAACTAAATCAACTATAAAATATTATTTGGACTATCGATTCTTAAAAATACATCAACGGATACTATTATTTGAGACTCTCAAAGTATATTTATGTATGGTACAGTAACGAGCACAATTAGAATGTTGTATCATAATTAAAAAAAGAAATAATAAACCTTTCATTTTGGATATAAACCAACAATTCTATGCAAAATATAACAAAATACTTAAAAAGTAAGACATGCATAGTATTCATTTAAACTTCACTCGATCGATCATTCAACAACTTCTTTTTCTCGCCAACTATATGTTAAAGCGTAAATAAGATGAATGTTTGGAAGAATAAAGTATTTCACTCACAATTATCAAATTTCGGGTACTGAATTAAGATGAAATCACCACTAGAATCCATCGACCTCGTGTTTTCCAATATAATTATTCAAATCAATTCATGTTCTAAACAATGTTGATTTAGTTAGAAGTGTTAAAGAATCAATAAGATGGAAGAAAGTTTGTAAAGGTATGTCAAGTATTATAACTATTATTTGTACTAACACGTCAAAGAAAAGAGCCATGTGTTATTTAAAACTTTGAGATAAGAGGAGTTTATATAGTTTTTAAAGGGATCTTGTTACATGTACATTAATATTTATTACATAATGAATTATATAATGTCACGTGACACTCTACCATTTGTCAGTTTAAAATGTAATGAACTTTATCATCCAATATTTTTCTTCCACGTCATATTATGTAATCTATTATGTCTATTTTTTCTATACAAGTAACAAAATGTTTTTTTCAAAATGAGGAGGGTTGTTAGAAACCTCATGGAATTCTCTATTATTTGTCAAAATCATATTGTTTAGTTCCTCCTAATACTATCAGTCACTAGTTTTCGCCGCTCCATATCGATGTGTTTATCTCTAAGCATTCCCCTGCACAGCTGAAAATACCTCTGATCTCACTGTACTCCATCTTGATATTTTCACCATCTATCCGACTTTGAGCAATGGGATTTAACAACGAACACATGGATTACGCATCGAATCAGTATCATGCTTGTGTAGGAGGGCTCTGTAATGGGCGAAGATAGGGGTGGGCTATAGCCCACCCCTACCCAAGCCAAATTCTACTAGAAAAAAAAAAAATTTATAGCACTTTTTTTTCTGTCCAACCCAATAGCCCACTGTCTAACTCATTAGCCCCCCGTCTCACTGAATCCTAGCTCCGCCCATGGCGCTGTTCAAAGTATATATCTTACCATTGGAAACAACTCCAGGAGGCCTTAAGCTTTCTCGAACAACATCTCTTAGCTTAGACTTTCGCAGTTGTGGGGAGACTCCTCGGCGAATCTCATGAGAGAGGCTCACTATTCAAGTTAATTTACTTGGAGGGCTTCTTTTGTAGCAAATGTTAAAGGGATAAAATTCCACGTAAAATAAAAATGAAAAATATAGATCAATTATAAGGATTTGAGTTACTTTTCTTAATAAAATTGACTTTTTAAGATACAATTTGAAGTCTTAATATGGTATCAGAACTCATTTAAACTCAAACGAACAATTTGAGATTACCCAGTTGTGAGTAATCACCCGGGATTGTGGCCCAAATTAGATTTTGATTGCGCATTGATGTAGAAGAACAACACGGCCTATGTTAATTATATCACATTTAAATTATGATAAAGATCTCTAATCTTTGTTATTTTTTGTATTTATACCCCTAACTTTTTTATTCCACTCTTATCTTTAATCTTCAATCGATAGCACATTTTGATTCAGATGGCAATTTACATCCAAATATTTGGTTAACGTACTTTGAAACAAGTCACTAATAATTTTTCTAACTTTCGTATTTTTTGTTTCATTTTTTTTATTTTTATTTTTGCTTAGTGAAAAAAATATGACAAACAAGTATCTTTACGATCTCCTAATAGTGTTTTTTTTTTTCCCACAGACTCACCTTTAGAGATAAAATGTGCTAAATCACAAAAGGTGGAGGATAAAATAAAACGAAAAAAAAAGTTGAAGACATAAGTCCAAAAATGAGAAAAGGTTAAAGACTTTCATTGCAATTAAAATATGGTGAAATTATTAAAAAAAATGTATTATTAATATAATTATCCTTTTTTATGAAAGAAAAATAGTAATATCTTAATCCGTAATAATTAAAGTATCCTTAAAAAATTCAATATTTTTAGATCCCATATCTTTAAAAAAATAAAATAATGCTACTAACTTTGCATGAACTTGCGAGGGAGGGAGGGAGGGAGAGAGAGAGAGGGGCTAACGAATTTTTAGGGAAATTAGTATTAATAGGGTATTATTTTTTGTTAATCAATGAAAGGTACTAGTGATGAAAATGTTGAAATGACCGTTAGACCGCTTCAAGACTGTGAAACTTGATATGATATTCGAGCAGTTGTTAAAAAAACAACTCAATTTAGTAGATTTAAGGTAACAAAGTCAAAAATATTTATAGGTAAATTATCTATTTGAAAATATATTTCAAGTAATGCGACATTAAACCCTCATTTCTCACGCTTGGTCGACATAAATTCTGTTGATTGGATAACTTGGTCCCTACTCTTTAAGCTTGACTTAGATCAACATCTTCGAGGTTTATTCAAGTGGTCATATGTAATTTGGTTTCAGTGGAACTTGGTAACTTAAGAAATAATTATATAATATCTCAGTAAAGTTGAGGTCACTAAGGCTCGAGTTGCCTTGTGTACTTACAACATTTCTTCCACTTCAAAAATATTATTAACCAATTAAAGTTATGAAGATTGGGTCAGAGTTGTATGTATCTACAGTGTCTGTTGACATTTTACAAATTTGAAAAATTAGGTTGGAATTATTGAAAATAACTTCTTGTGTCTTAACCTCCTCAAAAGCTTCTTCCACTCGGTGGGGAGTGTATATAATTCGGAAAGTGAACTGAAATATGACGGGAGTTCGAATGTCTCAGTAAGAAAGAGATCAACGGTGTGTAGCACAAGATCACCATTTCTTGCTGTCATGAGGTCGACTGTATATGGGATTTTAGGAACCAAAAAAGGGACTTGGGATTCAGAATACTTGAGTTTTAATCAGACTCTAATACCATTCTTCATCTATAACTGAAACAGGAATTTACCCATATGAAGTTTGGTAGCAACTGCAGATTGCAAACATAACCCAAAAAAGAGGAATTCAGAACGTATTATTAATACCAAATTTAACTTTCAAAAGGATGACATGTTTGCCAGTTTATACAGGAAAATAATCACACGTGATAGAAACACTTGATATTTTTAGTAAACCGAAAGGCAAAAAAGATGGCATAGGAAAGCCGAATATAAGCATCCTTTAGAAGCAGGATGAAAGAAGAATGCCCTACTAAACTAGTAATATTCACTTCCTCAGGATCCCAATCCTCTTGCGGAAATCATCCTCCATGAGAGGAAGGCCATCACGCAACTTGACCTTTGGTTCCCAGCCAAGCAACTCCTTTGCCTTGGTAATATCTGGCTTTCTCTGGCGCGGATCGTCTGGAGTATTCTCCACAGTAATGATTTTCACTTCTGGATTGATCATCTGCACAGCCACAACCACTTTGTTCCAAATAAATACTTAACAAAGAAACAGAGAAAAAGAAGAGGAAACATGTAGCTATATTACCTCCTTCACAGTCTCAGCAAGCTCAAGCATTGTAAATTCACCTGTCAGTAAAACCATGTGAGTTATCCTGAAACATTTTTTGCCCTTGTTTGGTTCCCATTATTTCAAAAATACATTTTTCCCTCTCTCATTTCTAACCACACATTCTTCAATAAAATATTATTACATGCGGACCTAAAATTTTTCCTTATTTTTGAACTACAAATTCTCCATCAAAATATCATTCCAAAATGCATTTTGGGCACAAAATGGGGCTCAACAAACCTAAGATTTATACTTAAGAGGGTTTCTTTTGGGCGGTAGGAGAAACACGGGGAAGAAACATTAATGAACTCGATTTTAGCATTTTAGCACCAGATCTATTGATAATAACCTGGATTTCCAATGTTGATTGGCCCAGTATTTTCTCCTTCCATTAGTCGAATTAGACCATCAACCTTCACATGCAAACGATATTAGAGTAAGGCCAAAAGATACAATAACATGCATTAAAAGGTCATATTAACGAAATAATATAATTCTCTCTTATACCATGTCAGAGACGTAACAAAAGCTTCTTGTTTGTGTTCCAGGCAACTGGACTGTCAAAGGCTCATCACTGCATGCAGGTGCAAAAATGATAATAGCATGAGAACTGGGTAGGTGAAATCTTCTTTTACTTGGCACACATCAAGTAGAGAAGATGAAATTGGAATGCTCAGAAGTGGGCTTGACTCCAGAGATAACAAGGGGCTAGCAAGAAGGATCAAAGATATGCAGAAGATTGTAGCATGGCAAATAAAATATTACCGAATTGCTTGAGCTATAAAATTGCTGACAACTCGACCATCATCAATATTCATGCGGGGTCCATAAGTGTTGAAGATCCTTGCAATACGTATTTCTGTTGTGGAGTCATCATTTCAAATTGTAAGAAGTACATCATATGAGTGAGACAATCTGAGAATTGGACGTCAAAGACCAATAACAAACATGTGATTAGCAGAAAAACAAAGGGATTTTTACCAATTCCGTGCTGCCTATGATAATCAAACATCAAAGTTTCAGCAACTCTTTTTCCCTCATCATAACAACTCCTAACTCCTGCAATACAAAGAAAATGCTATCATTACTTCATGAGTATGCTCTTCTATCTGTTGCTAAAACAATACATCACACATCTAGTAACAAAACGATGCATTCGATATCATGCTTTGGCATAAAACAGCTGACCAGATAATTATTAGTACAGTGAAGTTTAAAAGGTTTAACAAACCGTTGCCAAAAGTTCAGAGGTGCCAAGGAATTGAATGAAACTTGAAAGAGTTTCAATTGAAATATAATAATTGAGCGAGTATTTAGGAATCAACATACAGAGTGACCCAAATCAAAGTATTGATAAATAAACAACTCTTGAGTATCGATAGCACGCGAATTTATTACTTTCTCCACATGATACGAGATAGGAGTGGAAATATTTTCCAAACCCATTAGATCACCAAATTCATCCATGCTTGAGCCAACCAGAAGTAGAAAATTGAAAACAATAAAACAAAAAGTTGACAAAATAAGAAGGTTCATAATTTTGAACCACTGATAAATATTTGAAGGGAAGCAGAGTACACATTTTCCAACTATTTAAGCAACTCTAGATTTCTTTCTATTTAACTCTTTTAGTTATTGGATTTTAGCTCGAGATAAACTGTGGTTCAGGGACTGATGCAAATAGAATTTTTCCTTCTATTTTGTTAATAATAAAAATTACAACAAAGTTCAGTGGATTATTACTATATAGCAAGAGTATCCAACATGAAAATTAGACTACACTGAAACAGTAAAAGATCATGGTGAATTTGCGGGAACAAGTTGGATTATCCTCGTATCACATAGAATATTCAGCTATGGCATTCTCAGAGGTATAACAATACCTATAGGGTTGACATTGCCCCAATAGGTTTCATCCTGAGGATGCACAAGTGGATCTCCATAAACCTCAGATGTTGATGTCAGCAAAATTCTGTTAAGAAAGTACAGAAAGTCAAATTCCATATTAAAAAGAAATGAAATAAATATGAGCAAGTTGATTCAAACCTCGCTCCTACTCTCTTGGCAAGGCCCAACATGTTGAGAGTACCAATCACATTTGTCTTTATTGTCTGTTGATAGAAAGAGAATATAACCAAAAATAAATACTTAACTTCCATTGTCATACTCCACTAGAAATCGTGGCATTTTAAGAGTACTAGTCACAACTAAATGTTCGTTGCACGTTATTCTGAAATGCTTTATAAACGCTATAAAAATGATATTTGAAAATCGAAGAATATAAAATATAGTTAAAAAAACTCTCTATGTGAAATGAACTTTTTATACAATTCAATTATTTATTTACTTGTATGATAATAATTAACATTAATTTATATATATCCTACTATAATTCAATCAATTAATTCTTCAAGTTCATGTATGTACACTTTATATATTTTGGGGGCTGTTCAATTACTCTAGAAATACTACAATTCAATTATTTATGTATGTGCATGTATACTAATTAACATTTAGTTATGGATATATTAAATATAACATTAAATCATCAAGTTCATGTACACATGTTTTGGAAGCTATTCAATTATTTTAGGAGTAAATAAATTATTCAAATTCATGAACACATATTTATTTTCAAGATTATTCATTTTATCATAAATTATTCTAAAAGTATATAAATTATTAAAGATCATATAATTTGGGAGCTATTCAATTATTATAAGAGTGGATAAATTATTCAAGTTCATGTACACTTATTTAATTTCAATATTATTCATTTAATCTATGATATAATATCATTTGTCTAAATGTATATAAATTATTCTTTTTCTATATTCATTTATTCAAATTAATTAAATTCCATGTTGGTTCATGTACACTCCCTTTGTTTCAATATATATAAATTATTATTTTTCTATATCTATTAATTCAAATTAATTAAATTCCATGTTCATGAATCAATTTGATTGTTCTCGTACAATTCAATTATTTATTTGCATGCATGTTTAATAAATAATATTCAATTAAATGTATATTGAAAAACGAAAAGGTACTATTGAAATAATTAAATTGTAGTATGGCTAAAATCGTCTAAAAAATGATTCTCACTTGATGCAATATGTAATATATTATGGATTTACAACATAAACAACGAAAGCGAGCAAGCAACTAAACTAACGAGTGAGTGCGAAAGAGACGTGTATATCTTTCAAGCGGCTAACCTTCACAGGGTTATATTTGTAAAAAATTGGGGAAGCAGGACATGCAAGATGGTATATCTGATCAACTTCAATCAACAATGGCTCTGTGACATCTGCACAAGAAAAAAATGGAAATATATAGGATGAAAATGTAGGTGATTCAAGCAACAAACCATGGTCTTGAGAAAGTTTCTCCAAATGCACGGAAACCTCAGAACGCTTTATTTAAAAAGGAAAAAAGAAAAAAGAAAGAAAGATGTGGATGGATGGATGGACAAACAGAGGGTGAGAACGGCATTGAGCAAAGTCAAGACAATATCTACTTGGACGCTACCGTGGTAGTATGATGAATCAAGAGAAGATAGTAAAAGTCTTTATCGTGGAACTTTATTCCACCTCAACAAAGAAAGATCATACTGACATAATAGGCAATCAGACAAACTTCAAAGAATAATTACCATGACGAATGAGCTCAAATCTTGGGTGACCAATCCACTGAGACAAATTGTCTTTTGAGCCCGTAAAATAGTTATCAACAACAATCACCTGAGTGAAAATAAAAAGAACTCGTGAACATATGCATATTGAAGTACATCCTTCATTAAATGTCCACCGTTGCACGTAAGAAACCAAATAGAAAAATAACTAGTGCTCACCTCATTCTTCTCATTTTGCATCAGTTTATCAACTAAGTGAGAGCCAATGAATCCAGCGCCACCAGTAACAAGGATTCTCATGTTTGCCTGTCATCAAGGTGTCGTAAGTATACCATATAACGTGTATTAGTGTCAAAAACAAATATAATGGGGAAATATTCATAAGCCTGGATAGGAAGAGAATAGCAAATCAAACAGAACCATTTTATGAAATTATAATATGCTAAGATATGTAAAAAGTTTTAACTTTCTCCAGTTTTGGTAATAAATTGAACCCTCCAAAGTTATAAATGAAAATGAAAAGAAAAATGTATTTAAGATAACAAATGATAATGAGTGCATTTAAGAAAAATAAAAAAAAGTATCCCCCACCATAAACCTGCAAAGTACCGATCTCAAATAAATCTCAGAATACCAAAGGAGAATATCTCTCCTTCATCTCCCAGAGCACACAATTATTCACGAATTACAAGCTTCAAACCAACTCCATCCTGTGTCCATTAACCTCAGGAAATCTGAATCTCAACTAGACTATGAATGACAAATGAAATTAAACCCTTCATAGAATTCTCAATGAAAAATCATCTGTTGGTTGCAAACCTCCGTGAATGAGCATCCAGAACATCAGCAACACAAATGGAGTTGCACAAACAATTTCAGCTTCTACATACACTCACCACAAGAGTAATTAGCCATCTTTTTTAATTTTCTTTCTTTTTTGTTCAAGATCAACTTATCACAACTTAAAAAGTATCCACCCGAAAAGAAAAAAATGAATTGCTTAGAAATGTAAAAGTTTAAGATGCAGAGACAATAAGATTGAGACATGAAAACAGATTATTTTATTTTATCAAGCACCATAGATAAATACCTGAAAAAATTTTGCTTTTCGCAATGGTGATGGCTCTGGAGGTGGCTTTGTGCTTACATGGTTCTGTCCATTAGATGCTTCCTTAGCCATTTCTCAGATTCTTTCTTCAAATTCTGAAAAGCAGATCCTTTCTTCAAATTCTGCAAAAAAAAAACCTAATTCAATAACAAATAACAATTACACGAAGCCACAGTATATTAACCTTTCTCCAGGTCAAATTACAAAGAATTTAATGCATAATTAGTACAATGATCTTATATAAGAAAACCCAGAAAAGAAAAAGAAAATATTTTTCCTAGGTAAATTGAACAAGAATAGCCAACTCAAGTCTCAAACCTTCTAAAAGTGCAATACTGACAAGTCGATTAATTTGGAAAACAACCAAAAACAGAAAACAAATCTCTCTTACTAGTGAACAAAAAAGTAAAATCATATCTTTTTGTAAATTAGAAGCAAATCATGCTCTGATATATTTGACAAATTAAGAACAATTCCATTCCAATTGTACAATTCTAATTCAACTCAACACATTGACCTAAACAAGATATCCCAATAAAAAATAAACAAAACAATCCCTTTATATAACCATTACACAACCTGTAACGCATATTATCATTTGCAGAAAGCAAAATTACCACATATCTTATTGAAAAGCAAGAACCAAAATGAAAATTCTTTCAGAAAATAAAAATGGAACCTCTGATCACCTATAAAATTACTGAGAAACTTCGCCTATGCCGATGACAACAATTGCAAATAATAAATACTCAACCAACAAACAGTATGCACCCCAGATGACCCATGTCACACCAAACTTTACCAAGAGAGAGATATATCTTCAAAATCACGCAAAGGTTCCTTTGTCAGTGATCAACAATGCGTTGGTTTAACGAAAGGTGCAGCAGACCCAAACCCAAAATTAGATCTGAATCTAAGTGTAATCATCAAAGTCAAAATCGAAACATTATAATATAGCATCAAATCATATCGTACCTAAATTCACCGATCGAAACAGATAATTCTACGAACTTCAAGTGTGTATGAAAAACAAAAGGGATGAGAGGTATATATACACAGACACGCACACACGGTCAGCATCTATCTCACGGTAGCAAGTGTAAAAATGGAAAAGGAAATAAAAGAGACGTGCAGTAGCTTGGTTTATCGGGTTCGTGCTTTCACCAATAGGAAAGCGCCACGTTCATTATTTTGTTTCCTTATACCAGGTGGATTCATCTCGTAGGTCATGAGATGTAGAGCATGGTACGATCTGCCGCAGTAGATTTATTCTGTTATAATAGCGTGTATTTTTTTGATTAATCTGCCACGTAGATTATTAGTCATACTTCAAATTTGTGAGGTTATATCCCAAGTTCACGTAATGTTAGGTGACGGGTTAAATTAAAGCTGAAATTAAATAATTTAATTTGTACTTATCATTTAGCATATATCTGGTGGCCATTCTTTTCAAGAAAATGAATTTTGATCAGCGTATTTTAGAAGAATGTGTGGTTAAAAAGTAAGGAAAATTTTAGACTTACGTGTGAAATATTTTATTGTGTGAGTGTACAATTAAAAATAAGTATGTAATTTCTTTTTTTTATAAGAATTAAACGAGGGTTTATCGCCATATAAACTAGGGTTATAAGGGTAAATAGCATTAGTCTTTACTTGATTTATTTGTTGAGTCAGATACACATAATTCACAAGTTAATTTCATTAATAGTCAATGAAGTTTACGTAATATTCTAAATTGGTTAGTAGAGTATTTTTATGACCAATTTAATCACTAAAGTTGAATAATGTTACATAAATGATTAGTTCATTCATTTGATTGATGTTATATTCGATACTATTATAACTTTCACATCGACTAATCGATAAAGAGCAATTTCTTTCAGCCGACCTCGTGTTTTGGCAATATCACGATCGTTTTGCCGTTTCTCAACGATGGTTTTTTCTTCTCGAGAATTGCATTTTATCCTGAAGATCTTTAGTTTCATAACATGGACACAAAATCGTCATATCAAAATTTAATATAAGCTTTACTAAATGAACTAAGAAAATAATTTAATAATCAATTTAAAATTTTACGTAAAATTCAGTGACCATTTGGAAAATTAACTATGTAATATAAAAATGCTATGGTTGTGGTCGATCGATTCACTTTTCAACGAAAAGGACTAGCCACACCTTCTACGCAACATATTTGGGAAATTGATAAATTATTTTTTCTGAGTCATCGATTTTTGTGAACGGATAAATTAAACAATTCAATTTGACATAAAAAATTTCCACGGTCAATAGGAAGGGGATAAGTTTAAACTAAGATGAAGATAAATACGTTTATAAATCTTGCAAAGACCAGTTCAATCCTGAATGAATTTAATGAAAAAATTTCAATGTAGGAATCATTTAAAAGCAGTACCTGAAAAATATAACAATGTAAAACTCAAAAAAAAAAAAAAAAAACTTTATTTTTTGGGATTCAATGTAGATTTTTTGAAACTGTATAAAAAATATTGGTATATTCAATCGAGATTTTTATAGAATTTTAAAAAAATCAATATGTATTATTTATTTATTTCAATATTTCTCTTTCTTTTTTCATTTTACGAACACTAGAGTCGTGATTAAAAATTATTTTTTCCCACTAGTTATATATTTTTTCTTTTTTCTTTTTTCTGTTTTTCTTATTTCTCTTTCTTTTATTTTTTTAAATCTCTATTTTCTATAAAAAAGATAAATTGTAACTAATCTATTCTTCCTCTCTCTCTTTTATTCATTTTTTATTTTTTATCTCTATTTACTGTGAAAAAAATTAAATTATAACTAAATATTCTTATAATCTTATTTCGCTTTTCATCATTTTTTTAATGAAAATATCTATTTGTAATTAAAAATTATAAGATTTTACATAAAAGACTAATTTATAATTAAATTTAAATATATTATTTTTTGTTTACTCTGTGTATATATGTTGATTATTATTTATTTAATTAAGGTTACTTAAATTTTGAATCTTCTAAAAATATTTTTTATTATACGGGGAGGTAAAAGAGAATTGTGGGAATCACTACCTCCTATATAAGAATTTCACACTGTTGTTATAGACTCACGTAAATTTTATTTTAAATAAGAGTCTTCAAAATTTCTTTGAATTTTATAAAAGTTTTAAAATGTTTAAAATGAGAGTTATAGAAATCTACTAAAGACTTCCATTAATTCTATACAAATGCATAAAAATTCACATACGTCATCACTTAAAAAAATTAATAAAAGTTTTCAAAAGTCTCAATTGAATACACCCCTCAAATATAGAGCTTTAAGTGACCATCTCATTTTTCTAGAGGTTGAGTTGGTTTTAGGTAAAGTGCATGGTACAACCCGCAACATTGGATTCAATCAATTTCGATAGCTTGCCATTTTGAATTTATCTACGACATAGATTAGTATGTATATCAAGTTATAATTTGCGAAATTATATGGTTGATAATTGATTTACTTGTTATGTCGTGCTTCAGATAGAGTGTTGTTGGACACCAAATATTTGGAAATGTCCCTTGTTGTCTTTGCGTTTATTGTTGTCGACTACCTCTAGTTATAGATTTTGAATTGAAATTGAAATGTGGTTGACGAAAATTATTATGGAATGAGCACGAATCAAATTGTTGTATGGCTACATACGCAATAGTTGGTGGTGTAGAGTTTTAGTTTCAAGTTGTTGAAGCCGGGCTTCACAACTTACGAGTTTTTCATGGATTTCATCAAAAAATATTGTAGTTTCATAAGCAGGAGCAACTCATGAAATGTCTTTGTATTCGTCATATAGTCCATCAAGGATTTTCAAGGTCTGATCTTCAATGTGAAGGGGGGAATCCATTAGAGCAAGTTCTTCATCCTTGCCCCCTTGGTTGTTTGGAAGAATTCGATGATAGATTGAGTTCCTTTGGTCAGATTTGAATCATGATGATCTTTTGACTGACCATTGGAGGGTAATTTTCGTTTAAAGCACCAAAGCTAAAAAGGACTATTCGAGAAAAATATTTAGTTTGATCAGAAATACTTTGTAGTTGAACTTTAATCTTTTGTCTTGTAATATTGGTAATGAGTGAATTTATTGGTTAATTAAATTATAAGCAATAGAGAAGAGTAACGTGTCACCTATACAAGATTCCATTAACGTCAAGGCCAACGCTAATGCCAACTTACAATCCTATATTAGGATTGAGGTTGAGTCGCTGATTTTCAACCACGATTGTTCGAACACTTTGGTAGTTGATCAATATTATAGACTATTTTCCAAGGTGGTCTTGACTCGACGAGACATGCATGCATGCTTTTCTTCTCAATTTTATGCTATTTGCGAACCCTTGAAACTTATAAAAGTTCCTTTATGTCATGTTTACTAGATGAATTGAATAATATTAGACAATATTTAGTAAAAAAAATAGCGAAATTTTATTTTAAGTTCGTATATCAAACGTGCTGTTAAATATTGTTTCACCATAATTTTTGTTCATGCCCACGGTAGTCTTTCTAAAAAAAGTAGATATCATAATTCCTTCAAAAAAAAAAAAAAAAGATTTCTTGTCTGAGGTAGGGAATAAATTCAATCCTTTGTAACACAGTTAGGAAAATTTCGAACACCATTAATTCGTCATGATTAATGTAATAAGAATTGGATGAAAATGGGGACCGATTCAGCTATAGAAAAAAAATCGAACACGTCAAAAAGTTATAATTCTTTCTTTCTTTATAATTTTATATTATGCTTTACTATTTTAATATTGTTCAATTTATTCTAACAAAGAAACTATGTATTTTTCCTGACATGTCAATTTAATGTAGTTAGTGCTCTAGTCTTGAAATTTAGTGAACTAGCTAGGAAAGGAACAAAATGTCAGATAATATTTAGAGTAATGTTATTCATCTCCAGTGGGATGAATACACAGTCTATGTGTATTTATGCCGATGGTGCTGGTTCCTACACTTAAACCCATTTTTTTTCTTTTGGTCAGAAAATGGCATTAAATCCTCGTTCCCCCGAAATTCATATCACAGTAAATGAAGAAAATAAATTTTATTGAAATAAGAAAAAAGTACATGAATGTAAAACATTCTAAGAGCATCTTCAATACATACAAAATCATATACAAAATAAAAATAAGGTGAAACTAATAAATTAATGTTTTTAGAAATAAGCAAAACGAAACGACAAAACAGAAATCATTGTCAAGTATATTATAAGAAATTTTACTTTTTAAATTTAAGGATATTTTATATTACTAGGTGTAAGCAACGTGCAAATTATTACTTTAATAGACAATTTCTATGTAAAATAAAGTCACACGAACACAAAATTTAAAAATTTTCCGGGTGGAAAATTATACCAATCAAATACATTCAATTAACAATTCCCTGAAAAATAATTTTTAGGCAATTACTTTCCCTAGAATTCATTTTTTTCCACCATTTTTCACCATTGCAATCAAATGGACCATTATTGGTTAATTAAATTATAAGCAATAGAGAAGAGTGTCACCTATACAAGATTCCAGTAACGCCAACGTACAATCCTATATTAGGATTAAGGTTGAGTCACTGATTTTCCACCACGATTGTTCGAACACTTTGGTAGTTGATCAATATTATAGATTATTTTCCAAGGTGGTCTTGACTCGACGAGACATGCATGCTTTTTTTCTCAATTTTATGCTATTTGCTAACCCTTGAAACTTATAAAAGTTCCTTTGTCATGTTTACTAGATGAATTGAATAATATTAGACAATACTTAATAAAAAATAGCGAAATTTTATTTTAAGTTCGTATATCAAACATGCTGTTAAATATTGTTTCATCATAATTTTTGTTCGTGCCCACGGTAGTCTTTCTAAAAAAATTAGATATCATAATTCCTTATAAAAAAAAAAAGATTTCTTGTTTGAGGTGGGGAATAAATTCAATCCTTTGTAACACAATTGGGAAAATTTCGAACACCATTAATTGGTCTAGATTAATGTAATAAGAATTGGATGAAAATGGGGACCGATTCAGCTATAGAAAAAAAATCGAACACGTCAAAAAGTTATAATTCTTTCTTTCTTTATAATTTTATATTATGCTTTACTATTTTAATATTGTTCAATTTATTCTAACAAAGAAACTATGTATTTTTCCTGACATGTCAATTTAATGTAGTTAGTGCTCTAGTCTTGAAATTTAGTGAACTAGCTAGGAAAGGAACAAAATGTCAGATAATATTTAGAGTAATGTTATTCATCTCCAGTGGGATGAATACACAGTCTATGTGTATTTATGCCGATGGTGCTGGTTCCTACACTTAAACCCATTTTTTTTCTTTTGGTCAGAAAATGGCATTAAATCCTCGTTCCCCCGAAATTCATATCACAGTAAATGAAGAAAATAAATTTTATTTAAATAAGAAAAAAGTGCATGAATGTAAAAACATTCTAAGAGCATCTTCAATACATACAAAATCATATACAAAATAAAAATAAGGTGAAACTAATAAATTAATGTTTTTAGACATAAGCAAAACGAAAAGACAAAACAGAAATAATTGTCAAGTATATTATAAGAAATTTTACTCTTTAAATTTAAGGATATTTTATATTATAGTACATAAGATATTCTTAATAAATAGAAAATCTCTTGAAAATAAATACTCAACATGTTAAATCTGGGGCCTCCTTAAGAGAAGAATCTGAATCCTTAAATCAGGTCCAAAGTTACAAAAATACCTTAATCTCATGTAAATCTCATCATGAGAATACTTATGAGAAGGAAGAATGGGAAGTAGCTGTACTATTATCAGAGTCAGATTTCAGGTTATATTTTAATCAAATAGATACACATAATTGTAACCATCCCCTTAACTTTTGTGCACTATATTTTTGAAATCTAGAACTGTCAAGCTTCTATTGACAAATGTGAATACGTCATTTGACTCATTTCAAAGGTACCGTGTTGGTGCATTGGCGTTTCTCAATTTGCTAATAATTGTGAAGGTGTCAAAAATTTAGCGGCATATATAACTCCATAGAATCTAAATAGAAAATAAAGTAAATCGAATATCTTCAATTCTAAGAAAGCTCAAGCGTTCATCATTGATCCACCAATACTTCTCTGGGAAAGGATTGATTAGGGTTTCTGGAGGGTATTTTTCTATGCAGTCTTTCCATACATTAGCATCCTCCATGTCCCTCATAACTTGCCACACCCAATTGTTGCACTTAAAACCAGCACCAAAACTTATCATGAAAACCCTATCACCCTTCTTAAGTCTCCTTTTAGCCTCCATGTAGCCTAGAACATACCAGAGGCCACCGGCCGACGTGTTTTCGAAGCGGTGAAGTGTCATTCGAGCTGGTTCAAGATCGTATTCGGTTAGCCCTAGACTCTTGCCAACTCCATCAATGACTGCCCTACCACCAGGGTGTATACAGAAGTGGTCTACACCAGACTTTAGATTCAAACCTGCACCAACCCCTTCAAGAATTGGGATCTTTTCTTTACTCCATTGGTGATGAACAACAACATACCGGATTAATTCCCACAGAGGTAGTATTTTTGGTAATAGATCTCTTAGGTTTATGATGAAAGCTTGAGCAACTGTCTTGGTGAGAAACAATTTTCTAGAATGCCAAAAAAACACATTTTTAACAATTTTAAAACACACACAAAACCTAAAATGAATTCAAAACTAAAAATACAAAACTGAA